CTCCCGCCGAGGGTTCGGATCCCACATACAGACTGGTTCCTGTTCACTGGCTGAGTGAGGTGCGGGCGCAGTGCCGAGGGTTGCGATCCCGTTGCCGGTCCCGGTCTGGTACGGGTGTGACACTGAGGATTGCGATCCGTTGCCGGACACGAAAAAAGACAAAAAGGAAAAAAAAAAAACAAAAAACATTTTTAGAGACATGGATCTGCATTTTTGCTGAACCATGGATTTGTAATTCAAATAAGTAAAATTTGCCAAACTCAAACCATAACTTTTTCCCTAATGGTACTTAAATGTGTGGACTCAAACAGATGGCATTAGTCATTCTGCAGAGGGTAAAGTATTTGTTACCTTTCTGGGTCAAATCAGATTTTTGCTTCTTGGCTTATTGCTCAACGCTCAAGGTGAATGTCGAACACATTTATGTTCACAGGCTTCAGGTGTTGTTTCTGAGAAAATTCTTGCTCTGCTTTCTCTTTTCATGTATCTGGTAAAGTGCTCAGTACTAGTCACTTGTGATAAAGCTTTAGAAAATGTTCATACTTAGAGAATATTGAAGAAAAAGTTGTTACGTGCTTTATGACAAATCATTTCACCTGACCTTCATGGCAGTACTAGGGAAAAATGAAATAGTGTACTTGTTGGTAAATAATTCTTAGAATCTGGGAAACCTCGATTAATTAATTAGACTTTACCATCTAAATTGTAAAAGAAAGTATGATGTGACGATCCCAGATGGTTGTGAAAAATGTACCTAAAAGCTAATTCGGAATTATTAAAGCATGTTAAAGTGAATCTTTAGAGGAGCAGAACATGAGGGCAATTGTCCCAGTTGATCTGGACCTTGCCGTGCAGGTTGGAGGTATGTATGCCTTTGAGAGGACAGAGAATCCTGATGGAGTGAACATCTCAGAGATGCAAAGCACAGACGGAATAAGGGAAGTAGCAAACATTCTGATGTGCTGTAGAAATATTTCAAGTGAGAATAGCATAAGGCAAAGCCTTCCCCATAATCTGCATAAGCCACCTCCCTACTTCCCTCAAAAACCTCCCCAAATAAGCTATACAGTATAGGTAAAAAGTGTGTAATCTTTGTAAACATAGCTGTCAAACAACCCTCAAGGCCTCCTTGCCTTGCAACAGGATTGCCACTTCTGGAAACATTCTACCATTTTGTATCCTTTTCCATTTGGAGGGTTACTGGGGTAAAGGGCATCCCATTCAAACACTATTTTCAGGCCTTTTCCAGTGGTGGGCATGTTGTACAAATCTAAATCCTTCCAAGTGTCCCATTTTAGTAAACATCAATTTGTTTGCCCAAAAGGAAGTAAACACAGATATGAATTGTAGATATTTGTGCACAGTTAATATTGACTTTGATTCAGGCAAAGTATACAGTATTTTATACTATTGTATAGTAGCTGCTCATTAAATTTTTTGTTTTTTGCTTTTCCCAATCCCAATATTCAGATTATTGTTGATTTTTTAAAATTTCTCACTTATTTTTCTTTGTTTGTTTTTAAAGGAAAGATTTAAGGAAGCTGAAGAAATATACCAGGCTGGAATAAAGAACTGTCCAGACAGCTCAGATTTACACAACAACTATGGGGTCTTCTTAGTTGATTCTGGTAAGTGAAATTAAACAGAAACTGTTCCGTTGAGATTAGATAATACCATTTATCAAGCAAAATGACAGTAAAACAAATAATCCCTCAGAAGTAACATTCACTAGGCTTAGCACAAAGTTCACGTTGTACGTTAGGGCTGTCATTTCTCTACATCTTCAAGCTCTGTTCAGTAATATCTGCCCAGTTCTTATAGCAATGTCTCTAAGGAAAACTCCCCAGGTGGCAGATAGTAGCCTTGATGATTTAATGAGTTCCATTCTTCTTTGAGTATCATTTATACAAGTTTATAAATCTGTGATGATGAAATGTTTCTCTACAATGATGCAGAACCTGCCTCTGAATCTAGTTACTGGCAGATGGTAAATACTTTTCTGTAACTGATAAAAAATAAAGCCTCCAGCATGGTTTCATTGCTCCTTCCTTGATATACATTCCAGAAACTGCATTATTATAATTGATACAGTGCTCTTATATGACAGGTGCTATATAAAATACACTTACTTCATCTTATTTAATGCAAAACATTACTGGGCAGGGATTCTATTTTCTTCATGATTTGTGCAGAGCCCATATACTGTTGGCATGTAATGAATACTTATAAGTAATGAAACGATATTTGAATTTAATGTAAAAGCACCACTTTGTTCTTGTTGACAACTAGACTAGCCGCCCTGCAGTAAAATTCAGTTTTAATTATTTTTTCAATATGAAATGCTTGAGAGGGTTTTTATTTTCTAGGATATTTGAAGCTCTTCTGTTTTGTAGAATATAAATTTACATGCTGATACATCTAGTAAACTTACCTTATGTATGTAAAATTGTTGTGTAGTGCCACCTGCTGGTTCATTAGCCACATAATAATAAATTAAGTGTCATAAAGCTATAAAAAACAGAAAAGCCCTCTTGTTGGCCTGGTCTAATCCTCTTCCTTTTATTTCAACAACAGACATTCCCACCCTACACCCCAGAAAACAACAGTAACAACTCACTGACCACGTAGAGTTCCCTTTGATTCCTACTAGTCAAACTTGTATTCAAAGAAGGTGCACTTGAGATGATTTCTATGCAGATAATAAACATTCCCTCCTGCTTAGGACTTCAGACTGTTCTAAAGTTCAGTCATTTAGATATCACTTCACTAGGAAGCTTCTTTAGGGAGCTTTATCAGACTAAGGAGACTTGATTGTAGTCTGGCCTTTACCCTCACTTGCCCTGGGATCTTTGTCAAATCTCTTAATGTCCTTTCACTTTAATATCTGTATCTGTAAAGTAGTAATTTTGTTTATTTTTTAATATCTCTCAAATCATAAGAGGTGGATAAGTGGTATGAAAAGGCAGCTAAATATGTGCAAAGATTATATAAATAAAAGTATTTAAAATATATAATGCATTGGACAAATGCATTATATATTTATAATTATATTTATATATAAATTTATATACTTATATATAAATATATACATATTTATATAATGCATTGGGCAAAATACAGGGTGGCATTATTAATATGCTTAAAGTCCCATTAAATAAATACCATTTAAAAATGTATGATTTAAAAAGAGATTTTCAAGACAGAGCTGGTACATACTTGTTTAAAGAAATGCCTGTATACTATGTTGCAGTAAAGTAATTGAGATAGACCCTTAGAAATTGCTTCAGGACAATTTTCTTTCTGTAGTAGCCTATTCTATTTTTTGCACAATGGGAGGCAGCTCGTTGTTATATATCAGTGTTATATACGCAGTGATTGTTACACATCTTGCATAAATAACAATCACCAGTAATCTGAAAACATCGTATTAGCAAAGGCAATGACCAGAAAACACTTTGACTAAAATAATATATATAATAAAAGAAATAGGTTTTAGTTTTTACTGCTTTCTTTTTATTAATTTCTTTGGAAGTGTGAAGAACTAACAGTGAAATTATCCAAAGTTAGTCAATGGCAAGGAGAAGCCAAAATGCAAGCTGATTTACAAACTGAATAATTGGTACGACTCTGTACTAATGAGGAAGAATATGTCAGAAGAGAAATTAAGGCATGTCCTGCTCTTACCAACCTATCACTGGCTACAGGCTCTCCAGAGAAGGCAGTGACTCATTACCAGCAGGCAATCAAACTTAGCCCAAGCCATCACGTGGCCATGGTGAACCTGGGGAGACTCTACAGGTCGTTGGGAGAGAACAGCATGGCTGAAGAATGGTACAAACGGTAAAGTTCATTTTCCTTATTTTATAAGTAGCCCAGAGACCTCAGCAATACCAATCAACTTTTTAGTTAATTGGAACAGATGTGCTCTCAGAAGAGCAGCAAATTTTGCAAAGTCAGATGATACTGATTCTCGTCTCCCAAGAGAAGAATACAACTGTATAAATGGTTCCCAGTTAATGACATTTTTCCTGCTTGTTAGACCATGGTGCTAAACCAAGTTTGGAATTAATTCTCACTTTAGTTAGTCCATTGTTTTCTGAAGCTATGTACTGCGACCCAAACCACAAACAGCAGTTTCAAAAATAGGGAATATGTGAAAGACTGCATATAGAACAAAACTATTGGCATTAATGGGCAAGGTCACTGGGGCTCAGTTTCCATACTGATTGGTCACTAGAGACATTCTTCTGTTCACAGGGTGGCATCATGACTTTTTTTTTTTTTTTTTTTTTTTTTTTTTTTTTAAACCTTGTTCTTGATATAAAAACAAAGACCATGTTGGAGCAGAGTCTCAAAGCATGGATAGTCCTCCCTAAATCTATGTTTAGACCTTTGGAAATGTACTACCTATTAGAAGAAAAGTGTCAATTAATCTTTCTCCAAACTCAGTGCCTTGCAGGTGGCACACAAAGCTGAGATATTGTCACCTTTGGGAGCACTGTATTACAACACCGGCCGATATGAAGAGGCTTTGCAGGTTTACCAGGAAGCTGCAGCACTTCAGCCTTCTCAAAGGGAGCTCCGCCTGGCACTGGTGAGTAGAAGGATGAAAGAAAATTAAGCTGGGAGCATACGCACAACATGCAATGCAAAGAGCTGTGGTCATCAAGTCTCAAAACTGGAGCTAGAATACAAAAATATATTCATTGTATGAATATTCATATAACCAGTGTTAGAGCCATTCACCAAATGGACACCCAAAATAATTTTTTTGTATTTTGAGATAATTTGAAACTTACAAAAAAGTTTCAAGAATAGTAAAAAAAAAACTTCCATATACCCTTTCACCCAGATCCATTGATTTTTTAACATTTTGATGCATTTGTGTGTCAGTCTCTCATGTATGCATGTATGAGGGTACTTCAAGAGTTCATGGAAAATAGAATTAAAAGATAATACAAATCTTCCCATGAACTTTTTGAAGACCCCCCTCACACATATACATATATGTATATGTTGTATATTTAGACGCTAAGAATGTGTTTGCATATATTTGCTGTATTAATACATGTTATTTTGTTCTTGAATCATATGTTATCTAGTTTTTAAGAACAAGGACATTCTCTAAATAACAACAGTAAGGTTATCAAACTTAGGAAAATTAACAGTAATATCAACAATATTTTTATTTCAGTGCTTGGAACTTCACTCTTCCTTAGATGTGCAATAAATCAAACTTGTTATCTTGTTACAAACACAGTGTTCTGTTGAAATAATGAGAAATTATGTCTCTCTTCACCCATTTAGTTAAATTTTTTAAAAGGCATGAGCCATTTTACTGGTGTTCTTTTCATTCATACACAGATGCACACATGCACCTAAATAAACAAACAAACAGCAAAAGATTAAAACCTAGAAACTGATAATTTAGCCTTCTCTGTGAGTCACTGAATAGATGCTAAGCATTTTTGTCAGGAGTGTTTTCTGAATGCCTCTATTTAGAGATCCTTCATTTGATAAAGAAATAACAAAGGATCTTTTAAGCCAAGGTCTATGTGGTTTTGCAGGCTCAGGTTTTGGCTGTGATGGGTCAGACGAAAGAAGCTGAAAAAATGACCAATCACATTGTGTCAGAGGAGACTGGATGCCTTGAATGTTACCGCCTGTTGTCAGCAATCTACAGCAAGCAGGAGCAGCACAACAAGGTAGAGAAGGACAATGTTCACAGTTGTTTAGATTCATAGGTAGAAAATGGTGTGTGCCTAAATGATTCTCCAATTTACACATCTGTAAGGCTCAGAAGTCTTACCTATTATCAGTTGGCATACCCTATGTTATTGGAACTTTTTACACATATCCCCTTAACTCCTAAGACATCCCTTGAAATAATATTTTCTTGGTTCACCCTTGGTCTAAAGATTTCATATGGTATTGTCTCAGTTTGTTTTCAGCTATGTCTATAAAGATCAAGACAAACATTTGCATGCTTTTTCATTTTGTGTGTTCCTTCTAATATATTATTTCATGTAATCCTTATAACAACCCTAGACGGCAGGTCAGTGACCCAGTGTGGCAACTGTTATTGTTTACCTTCATTTTAAAAGTCACATAACCAGTAAATTCATGAAGTAACTCAAAAACATATTTACCAAATCCCTGTTATGTACCAGACTCTGTGGTAGGCACCAGGGATAAAGAGATATGAAAGAAGCAAGAATCACTGCCCTTGTCCTCATGGAGCCTACAGTAGAGGAGGAGACAGAGGTCAAACAAGTAATCACAAAACAAATGTGGAATTATAGCTGTGCTCAGTGATGTCATGAAGAGCTACATGGTCCCCAACAGAATGTAATCAGTCAGGGGACTGACGACAGGTCTGGAAAACCAGGTTTCCCTGTGAAGTGGTGAGGAAGTAGGAGCTGGGTGATAAGTAAGAGTTTTAGGCAGAGGGGCAGCAAAGAGAACTCTGGGCAGTGAAACTGCATGTGCAAAGGCCCTGCGGCCCCAGTGAGGGATACTGAGATGTTTGAGGATTGAACCTGAGGGAGCAGGGGTGCAGTGAAAGACGCAAACACAGGGCGCTGGGGCTACACCCCTTGAAGCCAGGCCAAGGGTTTTGTTCTTTATCCTGGGAGAAGATGTGAGGTCTTAAGAAGCAGAGCAATAATGATCAGATTTTTGCTTTGGCTGTGGTAGAGAGGGGGCAGTGGGCACTAGGATCAGTGTGGGCACCTGAGATGGGCATGTGTTCAGGGCAAACATCTGACCCCAAATCTTGTTTTCGTTCAGCTGTATCACATGACCTCCCTGTAAAGTGATCTGGGACCTCCTATTGTCATTAACCTATAAATTGGAAATCTGGAGTACCGGAAAAATAATTTTGTCTGGGCCACTAATTCTCAATGTGAAAATCAGAGAGAACGAAGAATGTATTTTGTCACGCACCACACTAGCTAATACATAGGAACAAAGAGTATAAATTTTATCATTTGTTAGTTTTTCTTTACCTAATCTTTGTTTATTCTGTCTTAATTTCTAATCTCTGCAGGCACTCAATGCTATAGACAAGGCTCTCCAGCTGAAACCAAAGGACCCAAAAGTTGTATCTGAACTTTTCTTCACAAAAGGAAATCAACTACGAGAGCAGAACCTTCTTGACAAAGCTTTTGAGGTATAAACACGTAATAAAATTGTTGTTAAATTCATGGACTAAAATTATTACCCCTCCAATCTTTCATATTCAGTGCACTTGCTGATTACTTGACATAATGTTATGTTTAGTTTTTATAATGAAGCTTCTGGATTTTGACTATTCAGAGTTACAAAATGCCTCTGCATTATTTTCTGAATTATCACCTTTAATTTGATGTTCAAAGCATTCCACATTTTGGCCTCAAACTAGCTTCTCTCTTTCTCTTTGCCTGCAAGAACACTCTATTCCAGCTGGTCTAGAGCCTGAATAGCTTTGGGCATTTCCACGTCTTTGAAATACTCCCTCTCCCCAACAGATTCCCACTCATCCACCAAGACACAAGACGCTGTCTCAGTCGTCCTCGCTTAAGAAGCCTCCCTGATCATCCTCTCAGTGACCTTGCTTCTTCTGAACTCTTAAAAAACACTTGATGTCTCACTAAGGCACCAGTCATTTGAAAGTGTCTTACATTACATTGTATTGTTAGGTGTTTCTCTCTCTCTCTCTCTCTCTTTCTCTCTCTCTCTCTCCCCACCTCACCCACCCCCCAGTGTGTGTATATGTATGCGCCCACATTCCTTCTCATGTCCTAAAACAATGTTTTCATTTTATATCTACAGCTTTGGAGTAAAATTTATTCACAGGTCGAAATCAAGAAGACATTTACAAATAAATAGATAGGAAACAGACACACCATACTATGTTCCTGTATCTTGGTAAAGTCAGAAGTTGGGATTAATATTATGGGAAAAGTAAAATCTCAGATGATATAATTGTGTTGAAAAGTAAACAAGTGAGTGGCTTTTGAAATGTCATTGTAAAACACATGGAAAGTTACTGGGGAGAACTCATTTGAATGTGAACCCTTAAAACAGAGACAGAAATTGTGACATTTTTTTCTGAAAAGATGTGAGTGTTTTTCTCAGAAATTGTGGATTTTTCTCTGCTTCATGAACACTTTCAGTACCTTCATTCTAAAGTTATTTGTAACTAACATGACTAATTGTTAATAATTTAATTATGAGTATTTATATTATATCTATATCTATTTGTATGTTAATACACTGAGTTGAAAACAAAAGCATTTTTAGTTGCTTGACAAATGGATTGAATAATATTATAGAGTGGTTAGATTTATGAGAAGAAGAAATAGGGCCATTGGCTGATAATAATAACTAAAATATGTTACACTTCTGTGTATGATTCACATGTATTAAATAATTTTTTGTAAACATATATGTAAAAAACATATATTCCCTTTTCACATAAAACAAGATGTATTGACTTTATATCACTATTTGTAATTTTATATCATAGTATTTAAGTTATTGAATATGAGGGGAAGAATAAACATCAATGAAGGCCTTTACTTCCTCTCCTGAGGAAGAGATTAGTGTGTTTTTGTTTGTGTGCAGGATAGTTGCATTATGTTAGGCAGAATTACCACTTTGTTTTTGTCTTTATTTGGACATTAAGTATGGTTTAAGGAGCTGCGTATGGGTGCCAAGTTGACAGGAGATAGACTTGTGATAGTTGATTTGATTTTTTTTTCTAAGTAATACACTTTATTTTATAGCAGTTTTAGGTTTACAGAGAAATTGAGCAAATTACCACTTTGTTTTTGTCTTCATTTGGACATTAAGTATGGTTTAAGGAGCCGTGTATGGGTGCCAAGTTGACAGGAGATAGACTTGTGATAGTTGATTTGATTTTTTTTTTCTAAGTAATACACTTTATTTTATAGCAGTTTTAGGTTTACAGAGAAATTGAG